TCACTGCCAACGCAGCAACAGCAACAGCAGCAACCAAATAAATGTTGACTTAAAGCTTTCGTGACTGCAGGAAATCATATTCTTTGAGGTCTTTCGGTAAAGTCACGTAGATAGGTTAAAATAAATTATTCTGATAATTTTATTTAACCTATCTACGTGACTTTACCGAAAGACCCAACGAATATAGCAACCAAATAATTAGTTTAAAGCGTGGTGCAGTGTGGCCAGTCAACCCCCAACGACCCGTACGTAAGATGGGGAGGGCCCTAATCCAGCAGTGGATTGACAGACGGGCTGTACATGGGCTCTTTAACCCTGGGCTCTCTCACCCCGAGCTCTCGTCTCCCCTGTGCCCTCACCCTGAGTCCTCACCCTGAGCCCTCACCCTGAGCCAGGGTCTCACCCTGAGCCCTCACCCTGAGTCAGGGTCTCACCCTGTGCCCTCACCCTGAGTCCTCACCCTGAGTCCTCACCCTGTGCCCTCACCCTGAGTCCTCACCCTGTGCCCTCACCCGGTGCCCTCACCCTGAGCCCTCACCCTGAGCCCTCACCCTGAGCCCTCACCCTGTGCCCTCACCCTGAGCCCTCACCCTGAGCCAGGGTCTCACCCTGTGCCCTCACCCTGAGCCCTCACCCTGTGCCCTCACCCTGTGCCATCACCCTGAGCCCTCACCCTGAGCCAGGGTCTCACCCTGTGCGCTGCTCTCCCCGCTGTTGTCGCGTCGACAGGAGCTGCTGAGTCTCTGCCGAGTGGAGTTGCGCTCCGAGGGGCTGGGGGAGTTTCCGGGCGTGCACAGGTATCACTACCGCAACGCATACACACACAATACATACACAATGCATACACAATACATACATAATACATACATAATACATACATAATACATACACAATACATACCCAATGCATACACAATACACAACACATACACAATGCACACACATTACATACATAATACATACATAATACACAATACATACACAATACACACACAATACATACACAATACACACACAATACATACACAATACATAGACAATACGTACACAATACATACACAACATACACACAATACATACACAACATATAGACAATACATACACACCATATACACAAAACCTACACAATACATACACAACACATACAATACATACACAACACATACACAACACACAAAATGCATACACAATGCATACACAATGTATACACAACCCATACACAACACATACACAATGAACACAATATATACACAATACATAAACAACACATACACAATGCATACACAATTCATACACAACACATACATCATGCATTCACAACACATACATAATACACACACACCACATACACAATACATACGCACACACGTACGCAACACATACAAATACAACACACACGCAACACACACATAGGACATATGAAGGACATCGCTCGGTGTACCGTGTGCTTTCTCAAAGAGGTCCGTGATTGTGATCTTCCATTTAGCTCTGTCCAGGATATTGCAGCAGACATCATTGCTTATGTTACTTAATGGGTGCCAGTTTGGCGAGATTGTTAACTACCTCGTCTGGTATGCGGGTGATCGCGTGTTCGACCCCGACCCTGACACCTGCTGTATATTTGGAGTCTGCGTGTCTCTTTTTCCCCGTCGTCGCGTGGATTTTTCTCCTGGTCCTCCAGGTTTTTCTCTCCACATGTAGAGTGTTTGGCTGCTCCTATAACATGTCCACGTGATGATGAGACACAGTGTTGAGCTGTCATTTGTGGCCAGGTCGCTTCTGAAAAAAAGAGCTGTATAGCTCGGTGAAGCTTACCTGGTAAAATAAACAAAAAAGTTTAGTGCAACCCCTGGCGTGTGAGCCCTGGTGCGTGACCTCTGCCTTGTGACCCCTGGCACGTGACCTCTGCCGTGTAACCCCTGGTGCGTGACCTCTGTCGTGTGACCCCTGGTGCGTGACCTCTGCCGTGTGACCCCTGGCACGTGACCTCTGCCGTGTGACCCCCTATCATGTGACCCCTCGCGCGTGACCTCTGCAATGTGACCCCTGGTGCGTGACCTCTGCCGTGTGACCCCTGGTGCATGACCTCTGCCGTGTGACCCCTGGCACGTGACCTCTGCCGTGTGACCCCCTATCATGTGACCCCTCGCGCGTGACCTCTGCAATGTGACCCCTGGTGCATGACCTCTGCCATGTGACCCCTGGCACGTGACCTCTGCCGTGTGACCCCCTATCATGTGACCCCTGGCACGTGACCTCTGCCATGTGACCCCTGGCGCGTGACCACTGCCGTGTGACCCCTGGTGCGTGACCTCTGCCATGTTTTCCCCTGTCGTGTGTCTAGGGCGTTCAGGCCAGGGCGATGAGGAGGCACAGGGCCCAGGTTCTGTTCTTCAGGCCGCGCACGGTGAAACGCGACCAAACCCAAAACAGCGGGCCCAGCAAACGTAAGAGCCCCCCACACCCCCCCAACTCCCCCAACTCCCCACTCCCCCCCCATCCACCCCATCCTCCGCATCCACCCCCCAACATCATTCCACCCGAAGACGCCCCATATAGCCTGCACAGGCTGTTGGGGCAAGTACATTTTAGCGGGCACCTATAAAGGCCAACGTGGCACACGAGGCCTGCACCACGCGCAAGCCGCCTGATGTGTTTGTCTTCTTTTAAACACCGCACCAGGTAGTCATTTGAGGCCGAGTCGACCTCAGGAAGGCCCAGGGCCGGTTCAGACAATCGTCATTTCGTGTTGACCGTGAGCGGGAATCGAACCCGTGCCGCCACGTTCCGTAGCGCAGAAGCGCACTAACCGCGACAACACCGCTCCTCTCTGGCACGCGCACACACACAGCCTGCTTCTGGAAATACTGCATCTGAGTTGGACTCCCGACACGGGCTGCTGGTCGGTCCACCCTCCGCGTGGCCCCGAGTGACAACGACGACGCCGCCGCTGCTGCTGCTGCCACTGCTGCCAGGACCGGGGTCGGAGGTCGCGAGGGGACCTCGTCACCGCCACTGCGTCCGCGCGTCCCGACCGCGCGCGTTCCTATTTATTTCCTTGTACATTGCATGTCCCCGGCGAAACAAAACCCGCGATGCCCACGGCTAACATGCCGCCCACCTCTGCCCTCTTACCCCCCTACCTCCCACCCCACCACCAACCCACCGCTCGCCCGCCTGCCGTGAACGTTTACCGCTCTGCGTGGCTTTCCTCTTTGTTTGATTGATTCACCAACCCACCACTGCCCCCCACCATCCCCAAAAAAACCTCCTCCGCCCACGTTGTTTGTGCAATAAAAACGACGTAATATCTCTCTCCTCTCTCTCGATGTCGCCCTCTCACCCACGTGCGTTCGCGGTGTCCTCGCGTGTCGCTCCGACGTCGTTCCGACGTCCTCACGCGCGCGTGGCGAGAACGGAAATTCTGAAGAAAAGCTCCCGGGCCCGGAGCGGGAGCTGAAACGTCGGACCTCGATACGCGTTCATTGCTGCCGGGGTAGATGGAGGCGTTGGGGGAGTGCTGAATTCGTTTTTTACGCACAGCGCCAGGTACTCATTTGAGTCTGAGTCGACCTAGGGGAGGTCCAGGATCAGTTCAGGTAATCATCACCGGTGTTAGTGGCCGTGAGCGGGAATCGAACTCGGGCCACCGGGTTCCTAGCGCAGCGCACTACTCGCTGAACTACTGCCCCCCCCCCCACAAAGACAAAGATCCCCCGTGTAGCCTTAACAGACTGTTGGGACAAGTGCTATTAGCGAGTAGCACCTATGAAGGCCGGTACGGCACACGAGGGGGTGACACACACACAACGAAAACCGCTAATTGGTACTATGTGGTGGTGACGTCACCACGGTGCCTGTGCCAGGCCAGGTGCACTTGGAGACCACGTGAAGCGTCGAAGGCTCGCCGATAGGAGGTCACGGGACAGACCCAGGTGCCACAGGTCGACTGACTGAGATGACCGGCAGAAACACACAAACCCACACAACAACCACCATTTGCCACTAAAGTGACGGTGACATCACCACGGCGCTTGTGCCAGGCTATGTGCACATTGAGGCCGCGTGAAGTGTCGAACGCCCGCTGGCAGGTCACGGGGCAGACCCAGCAGGTGCCACCGGTCAACTGACTGAGATGACACACACACACACACATGTATACACAACAACCGCCATTCGCCACTAAGTGGCGGTGACGTCACCACGACGCTTGTGCCAGGCCATGTGCACCTTGAGGCCACGTGAAGTGTCGAACGCCCGCTGGCAGGATGTCAAGGGGCAGACCCAGCTGCCACAGGTCGACTGACTGAGATGACCGAGATGAGTGGTTGATGCACCACCTGTGCCCCAGCGCTCCGCTCGTTGTTGTGAGTGTCGCTCCTCCGCCCTCCGTTGATGTTGGAGGGCGACTGCCTCCAACTGCCCAGTAGCGTCCTTCACGAGCTTCCTCCACAGAGGCCGATCTTGACACCGCTAGTACCAGTCATCGGCAAGTCCACTCAGCTCCACATCCTCCTGTACCACGTCACTCCATCTCTTCTCTAGCCCGTGCTGTGCCCGTTTAGCCCCCTTGATCCGGCCGAACAAAAGCTGTTTGGGCATGCGGTGGCTGGGCATGCAGGCTACATGACCCAGCCAACGCAGCCTTGCCTGCCGGAGGTGCTCACTGATGGGACTTTGTCCAGATCTTTCGAGGATTTGTGAGCTCTTCACACAATCCAGCCTGGTTAAACCCAGGATTGATCGTAGGCAGGCCAGCCTAAATGTTTCTAACCGGCGAAGATGCTACATTAGGGGGTCCACGTTTCACGTACACACACACAGGCGCGTGTGGGTGGGAATCCAACTGGATACGCTTTATTGAAGGTCTCCGGTGCGACGGTAAAAAAGAAACCACGGGGGACTGGCGTTCGCCTCAATCGCAGCGCGTCGCTCGCCCGAGTCGCCCGAAATGAAGCGAAGACAAAGATCCAACCCCCACCCCCCCCCCCCCCCCCCCCGTATAACCACAACAGATTCTGGGGCAAGTTCTGTTAGCGAACAACTATGAAGGCCAGCACGACACACGAGGGGATGGGTGGCCAGCGCCATGCCGCCTTTGTCTCCCCAATGGCGATGTTTACACACCGCACCAGGTACGACTCACGAATGGTCGCTGGTGTTGGCCGATAGGGGGATTTCGAACACAGGACACCGGGTTTGCAGCACTCCAAAAATCCAACTACTCTCTTGTCTCAAAACAATAATAACAACAACACAAACACTGAGAGCACAACGGGAACAAGCTGGCAAGCCAGTCGCTTAAGGGAGCCTTCGTTTAGTTGGGGTTGTTAAGAGCGTACGAAGAGAGACACGCGGTGGGAAACGCGCGGACGCACACGGATGCAAGCAATTTCCCCGCGACGCATCAGGCTACCCCGGGTAGCGGACGGAAGATTGGACGACAGACAGACGTAAATATTCCCCATGCATTACAATCATTTGTCGATGAACGCCCTGAATAAACCTCTGATAAGAAGAGAAAAAAAACAGAAAACTCAACACGTCCGTTGGTAACACTGTGGCCTCCTTCATAGCACATGTGGGTCATTTCTCCCGCAATGTCGCCTGCTATATATATATTTTTTTTTTTGAAGGCCACGCAGCGTTATTGATCAACGTGGCGAGTTGGTGTTGTTAGTTGTGCTTGTGCACCGCTGGCAGCGCAGCAGCATCGCCGCACAATTCGACAGAAGCAGTAAAAACGACGGGGAGGGAGACGACAGTGACGACGACGAATCACGTGATCTTCCTAGTTGCAGGATGTCTCCTGCAACTCGCGATGACGAGATGTTAACTACCTCGCCTGGTATGCAGGAGGTCGTGGGTTCGATCCTGACCCTGGCGCCTGCTGTATATTTTGAATTTGCGTGTCTCTCTCCCCGTGGTCGCGTGGATTTTTCTCCGGATCCTCTGGCTTTTCCCCTCTACGTTAAGAATCAACGTCACGCGTTTGAGTTTTTGGCTGCTTATGAATTTCCACGCGACGACGAGCCACTTCCGTTGAGCTATCATTAGCGATAGCTACCATATAGCTCAGTGAGCCTTCCTTCCCTGATAAACTTTAAAAAGTTTAGTTTAAGTTCAGTCAGCTCGATGGGCCGAAATCAAGTGACCCCGACGGCATGGACGATGACCTCAGGTGACTTCCCCCCCCCCCCCCACGCCCCCGAGGCCATCACCCTTCTCGGCACCGACGCTCGCGTCACACGGTCTGCGTCTTCCTGTAGGCCGCCGGCCACGTGTAGCAGTCGGGGACGAAGGAGTCGTAGTCGGGGCTGTAGACGTGGGATCGAACCAGCGCCTCCTTGTCCTGCGGCTCTGGGTAGAGGCTCGCCATGCCGCTCGCGTACGCCTGCTCCACAATCTGGTGGCGGAGAGAGGGAGGGACGACGGCGATGACGGAGAGGGACGGGGGAGTGAGAGACGGGTAGAAAGGCAGAGAGAGCGAGAGAGAGTGAGAGAGTGGGAGAAATGTGTACAGGCTTCCTTCGTTTTGCGAGGTGGTAGATGATTTACGAAAAAAAGGGACCGGGCAAAGCGAAACTGCTTTGCGGTGCATTGTGGGTCACCCGACCCACAATGCACCGCTCCAGGAGGCAGCTGCGTGCCAAATAGCACACACAGCACACACACAGTACACACACAATGTTGTCCTACGTCTGACCACATAGCTGCGCCTGCCCAGGTCGCCTGGGCCAGCGCAGCCTGGGCCAACTTGGCTTCGGCCCACATGGCCCGGGCCAGCGTGGCATGGGCTCACGCAGCCCGGGCCAGCGCGCTGTTGGCGCACGATCGCCCCCCGGTGCTCACTCGCCGTACCTTCACCGCGATCTTGAAGGAGATGTCCCTGATGGAGCTGAGCGGCGGGTAGAGACGTCCCTCTGCCAGGTGCGCGTCTGTCACCTCCCCAGCGATCATCTGCGAGACAAATGATTGATTGTGGCGATTGCCGCTGCTGCTGCTGCTGCATCGGCAGTGGTGGAGAAGCGCGGTTAACCCTTTTACCATTACGATGACGTACATGTACATGTACGTCATCAGTTTTTCTTCCGATTCCGATTCCGTCCCTTAACGTTATCGGAATCGATTGTGTTGGCCACCCACCCTCTTTTGTGCTGTGCCGGCCTTCTGAGGTGCACGCTAACAGAACCTGCCCCAACAGTCTGTTAAGGCTAAACGGGCGATCTTTGTGTGTGTGTGTGTGCACGTGTGCGTGTGCGCTCGTGTGCACGTGTGCGTGCGTATGTGCTCGTGTGCGTGTGTGTGAGAACGTGTGCCGTGCGTGCGCGTGCCGTGCGCGTGCCGTCACCTCGGCGGTGGCGAGGAAGGCCTCGTCGGTGATGTGCCGCACGCGTGCTGCGATGACGCCCAGCGCCAGCCCCGGGAACACGTAGGCGTTGTTCCCCTGGCCCGGGTGCAGCGTGCGGCCGCTGGGCAGGGAGACGGCCGCGAACGGGGAGCCGCTCGCAAACACGCCTCGACCCTGCAGGCACGCACGGAGCGTGAGAGAGACACGCACGGGAGAGAGATGCATGGGGAGAGATGGGCAGAGACACGCATAGGAGAAAGATGCATGGGGAGAGATAGGCAGATACATACATAGGAGAGAGATGCATGGGGAAAGATTGGCGGAGACACGCACAGGAGAGAGATGCATGGGGAGAGATAGGCAGAGACACGCACAGGAGAGAGATGCATGGGGAGAGATAGGCAGAGACACGCACATCAGAGAGATTCATGGAGAAAGATAGGCACGGTGAGAGACACTCAGAGGAGAGAGATGCATGGGGAAAGATAGGCGGAGACACGCACAGGAGAGAGATGCATGCGGAGAGGCACGGTGAGAGAGAGAATTTCCCGAGTAAAGTCCATCGAGCGAAGAAGCTCGTTTTGAAGGGGTGACACAGCCGATAGAGAGAAATGCAGCGGGGACCCCCACCACGTGAGTCTTTCTATTCATCAGAGACAAACAATTTTGTTTTACGATTAATGCATAGGGCACGATTTTAAAAGGGACCGCCCCGCACCACTTCCCGTGGGGAAGTTTCAACATCCGCCTCTGTGTTGTAGCAATCTTAAGACCCCAAGAGCTTAACGATATTAATAATACCAAGTTTTGTTGCATATATTTGCGTTGAATGAACTACATCGCACAGGCAAAGCTGGGAGGCAGCAACCAGGCGGTGAGCTGGCAGCACCAACGATTGCCCGGGTTCCGCAGTCCTCTATATATTAAGTTGTTTTCAGCCCCAGAATTAGGGTGTTTGGCCAATTCTATTAACGAGCGTTTGTGCACGTGGGAGGAAAACCCACGCGTGCGAGGGGGCAACGCTCGATCCCATACAGCCGGACCAGGTGGGGGTCCACATTTGTGCCGCACCGCCTCCCCCTGGCCACGCCAGGGGGAGGCGGCTCCACCTCAACACCCACGGCTAGACGGGCGAGGGGGTGAGGGTTTCGCAACATTCGTGCGGCAGTCCACCAACCCTCGCGGCTACCTCCACAGCACTGGATCACAAGCCACCCACCGCCATAAGACAAAGATCCCCCGTATAGCCGGACTGTTGGGAAAGTGCTGTTGAGCGAGCACCTGTCATAAGCCAGCACAGCGTAGGGGCGGAGGGGGTGGAGGGGGCGAGGGGGTGGAGGGGGCGAGGGGGTGGAGGGGGCGAGGGGGTGGAGGGGGTGGAGTGGGCGAGGGGGCGAGGGGGTGGAGGGGGCGAGGGGGCGAGGGGGTGGAGGGGGCGAGGGGGCGGAGGGGGCGAGGGGGTGGAGGGGGCGAGGGGCTGGAGGGGGCGAGGGGGTGGAGGGGGCGAGGGGTTGGAGGGGGCGAGGGGGCGAGGGGGCGGAGGGGGCAAGGGGGTGGAGGGGGCGAGGGGGTGGAGGGGGGCGAGGGGGTGGAGGGGGCGAGGGGGTGGAGGGGGCGAGGGGGTGGAGGGGGCGAGGGGGTGGAGGGGGCGAGGGGGCGAGGGGGCGAGGGGGCGGGCACCTCGGTGACGCGGTAGCACTGCTCCGCCGTGCACTCCGCCTTGCTGGTGGGGTTGCTGAGCGCCAGGATGATGGGACGCTTGTTGAACGTGGCCATGTCGCTCAGGATGCCCTCGGTGAACGCCCCCCCCACTGCCGCCACGCCTGGAATGCACAAAGACAAAGATCCCCCCCACGCACCCCCGTGTAGCCTTAGCAGACTGTTGGGGCAAGTGCTGTTAGCGATTCGCACCTGCGAAGGCCGGCACTGCACACGAGGGGCTGCGGGGGCCAGCACCACGCCCGGCCGCCTTTGTCTCCCCAGTGGCGATGTTTACACACCGCACCAGGTACTAATTCGAGTCGACCTAGGAGAGGCCCAGCACCGGTTCAGATAATCGTCAGCGGTGTTGGCCGCGAGCGCGAATCGAATTCGGGTCGCGGGATTCGTGGCGCAGCGCGCTAACCGCTGCACCACCGCTCCCCACTATACACACACACACGTGTACAAGACAAAGATCCCCCGTAACCTTAGCCGACGTTAGGGGCAAGTGCCGTTCGTGAGTCGCACCTACAAAAGCCGACACGGCACAACGAGGGGGGTGGGTGGGCCAACACCACGCACGTGCGCACACACGCACGTGCGCACACACGCAGACGCACGCAGACGACACACGAACGAGCACACCGGGCCATGTGCACAAGCGTCAATGTCGCGCCCGAACCGGAGCGGCTATTAAAAGCCTCTGGCCGCCGCCGTCGTCGCCGTCGTCGTTGTTGTCGTTGCGAGTGCGACCGAGCGTCCGCTCGCACGCTTGTCGCGTGTCATCGCCGCCGCACGCCTCTCGATGCGTATCGCTCCGTCGCAGCTGCGGCTACGTGGCGACGGCGGCTCGCTGGACCCCCCCCCCCCCCCCCCCCCCCCCGCTTGCTGTGTTTGCGTTTGGGCTGAATCCGATTGTCTTTTTTTTCCGAATTAATAATCCGGCGGCGGTGGCGGCGGCGTCCTCGTGACGACAGGGGCGAAGTTTTTCCATCGGTCTCGTTCGCGGCGAGCGGCCGTCGGCGTCAGCACAGCCCCGCTGGCTTGTGCCACCGCGCGCCACTCCCCGTAAGCGCTGCCGTGGCTAGGAGACGTTCACGAGCTCGCCTCATATGCAGGAGGTCGTGGGTTCGATGCCGACCCTGATGCCTGCTCGCAGCGCACCGGGCGGGGGGGGGGGGGGGGGCCTCGTTGGCCCGGGGGGGCGCGCCGAGCGATGGAGCCGCCGCTCGCGAATCCGAAAGTTTGAGAGTTAAATTCCCGGTTGGGCGTTGATCTGTTTTTTTTTGCTGCTGTTGCTTGTATCGCGGGAAAGAGGCGCGTGTTGTGTGTTGTTTTCTGAGGGTGTAGGGGTGGTGGGGGGGGGGCAGGAGGGGGCAGGGGGGTTACCGATGAGGGCCGTGGGTTTGACGGTGCGCACCACCTCCTCCAGCGATGGCAGCGGCGCGTGGTCACGGGCAAACACCTCCTTCTCGTGGTTCAGATTCGACCTGCCCTGTACCGCCACCACAACGATTACTGTCATCCCAGCCACCACCACTACAACCACAACGATTACTGTCATCCACAGCCACCACCACCACAACGATTACTTTCATCCACAACCACCACTACCACAACGATTACTGTCATCCACAGCCACCACCACTACAACCACAACGATTACTGTCAGCTACAACCACCACCACAACGATTACTGTCAGCTACAACCACCACCACCACCACAACGATTACTGTCATCCACAACCACCACCACCACCACAACGATTACTTTTCATCCACAACCACCACCACCACCACAACCACAACGATTACTGTCATCTATAATCACCACCACCACAACGATTACTGTCATCCACAACCACCACAACCACCACGACAACGATTACTATCATCCACAACCACAACCACAACGATTACTGTCATCAACAACCACCACCACAACCACCACCACAACGATTACTGTCATCCACATCCACCACCACCACCACAACGATTACTGTCATCCACAACCACCACAACGATTACTGTCATCCACAACCACCACCACAACCACCGCTACCACAACGATTACTGTCATCCACAACCACCACAACGATTACTGTCATCAACAACCACCACAACGATTACTGTCATCCACAACCACCACCACAACCACCGCCACCACAACGATTACTGTCATCCACAACCACCACAACGATTACTGTCATCCACAACCACCACAACGATTACTGTCATCCACAACCACCACCACAACCACCGCCACCACAACGATTACTGTCATCAACAACCACCACAACGATTACTATCATCCACAACCACCACCACAACCACCGCCACCACAACGATTACTGTCATCCACAACCACCACAACGATTACTGTCATCCACAACCACCACAACGATTACTGTCATCCACAACCACCACCACAACCACCGCCACCACAACGATTACTGTCATCCACAACCACCACAACGATTACTGTCATCAACAACGACCACCACAAACACCACAACGATTACTGTCATCCACAACCACCACCACAACCACCACAACGATTACCGTCATCCAGAACCACCACCACCACAACCACAACGATTACTGTCATCCACAACCACCACCACAACGATTACCGTCATCCACAACCACCACCACCACAACCACAACGATTACTGTCATCCACAACCACCACAACGATTACCGTCATCCACAACCACCACCACCACCACAACCACAACGATTACTGTCATCCACAACCACCACAACGGTCATCACAGCCACCGCCACTACCACAATAACAATAATAAAAGTCGCAGCAACAACAACGACCCGGACGGACCTTGACGATGAGCCCCTTGGAGTCAACCATCCAGATCCTGTCGAGGGCGGCCTCCCGTGCGGTGCCCTCCTTCTGCATGGCCATCACGAGCAGGTGCGCGATGCCCATGGCAGCCTGCGGGGAACGCAAACAACAACAACAACAATAATAATAATAGTTTAACACGTAGGCTTTCGCGACCGATATTATCCATAAGAGTTTTTTTTGGGGTTAGATCGTGTAAATATGTGTCGTTAAACCTGCCACCACCCGAAATGGCCACTTAGTAAGGTTTGTCACGTATACAGAACATGCCAACTACTACAGCTACCGTTAAATACACAGGTGGTCATTCGGGGTGGGTTCGACCCCGACCTTGACGACTGCTGTATATTTGGAGTTTGCGTGTCTCTCTCTCTCTTTCATCATCATCACGGTGGCTATGAGATGTTAACTACCTCGCCTGGTTTACAGGAGGTCGTGAGTTCGACCCCGACCTTGACGGCTGCTGCTGTATATGTGGAGTTTGCGTGTCTCTCTCTCATCATCATCACGGTGGCTAGGAGATGTTAACTACATCGCCTGGTATACAGGAGGTCGTGGGTTCGACCACGACCATGACGCCTGCTGCTGTATATTTGGAGTTTGCGTGTCTCTCTCTCATCATCATCACGGTGGCTAGGAGATGTTAACTACCTCGCCTGGTATACAGGAGGTCGTGGGTTCGACCCCGAGCCTGATGGCTGCTGCTGTATATTTGGAGTTTGCGTGTTTCTCGTCGTCCGATGGTCGTGTGGATTTTGCCCCGGGTCCACCGGTTATTCCCTCCACATTTAGAATCAACGTCGCGCGTTTCGAGTATTTGGCTGCTTTAAATCTCAACGCGACAAAAAGCCACTTCGTTGGGCTTTCATTCGCGATAGCCAAGTCGCTTCTGTATAGCTCAACGGGCCCTTGCCTGGTAAAATAAAAAACATAGTTTAGTTTGTTGTAGTTGCTGGTGCACTTAGCGACCCCCACCGGTGATAATGACAACAATTTCCACGCCTTGTTGTTAATAGAGGTGCCCTCCTGTACGCCACACATCTCATTTCAACACACTTGAAAGCACTCCCTTCACTTCCTCTCAAACGAAACTTTAGAAGTGTTGTATACGGGGTCATGGTGGAGAGATGGGGGGCGTGGGGTCACAATTCCCGGCCATCGGCAGTGGCTCAGCGTGGATGGCGTTGGGGCCCTCTTTTCCCATGCTGGACATCTGTGATGAAGAAGAGCTTCATAGCTCATCGGATTTCTCCTGCAGTCTACGTAAAAGTTCTGATCTGAGTGCCCCCCCCCTTGCCCCTCCCCTCCCCCCCGTGTACAAGTTTACAGCTAAACTATTAAACCGGAGCTATCGAGCTCAAATTCAGAAGCGACCTGGCCACATATGATAGCTCAACAAAGTGGCTTATATTGTGGATCGTAGCCAAATGCTCCAAACGAACGTTGTTTGTGAATGTGGATGGAAAAACCGGAGGACCCGGAGAAACTTCCATGCGACCACGGGGAGAGAAACACGCAAACGACAAAATACAGCGGGCGTCAGGGTCGGGATCGAACCCACGACCTCCTGTATACCAGGCGAGGTAGTTAACATCTCCCTCGCCCTCCTACCCACTGTCTTCGCCGCTCAACATGGTTCATTCACATCGAGGGCTCTCCCCCCTCTTCCACGATTTTGTGAAATATTCTTCCTCTCCCTTCCGTGATGTGTCACAAAATAGATTTGTGCCACCAGCGACCTCCAGTGGCGACGATCGGTAACTGCGCTAACATTGGCTCGTCCCTAAGGGCGTCAACTATGTACTTATTATCATGATAATACTTTTGTAGTGGGGGCCACGGAGGCACACACTTTAGCTGGGAGGCAACACGTGTATTACTCGTTAGCTAGACCCCAACAGGGTAACTACATAACCGGGTCAGGCAGTAAACGTACTTCCAGACCCACGATGTCGAAATTGACGACCGAAGTTTGAAGAGACATAGCCCGGCAGGTTGATTCCAGAAGACAGCCACGCTCGGCTCTCAGGACCCCCTTTTTAAATCCTTTATATTAAGTTCACTTGCTTGCTTGCTTGCGCGCTTACGACCGTGCAAATCTTTCGGTCGTTTTTTTAACCCACTTCCCGTGACCCAATCGAGCTGACATTTTGCACACAGACTCGTTGTGCGTGACAATTTTTTTTCGTGAAAATTGTTTTCCAAAATTTTACACTTTTTAGGAAAAAAAAAATTATATTTAATTACCAATTGCTTAATGGTGGCAGGCAATCATCTGACCCATAGGTGGCAGCCATCTCAAGCCAGAGGACGAGAGGACTCTAGCCGCCATGCATATAAAGGATTTATAGTGAAAAACTTTGTTTTTACGGGTTACATTTTTTTATCTCCTGAGCGTGACCTTCCACCAGCTGTCATCTCTCATCACCTGTCCCCCCCCCCCCCCACCTCGTTATCCTCTCCTCGTCATGTGCCCTCTCGGGTTCACCTCGCCTGTCACATCCTCTGGTGCCAGAGAGAGGCTTGACAATGCGCAGTTACACTCATCTCTCAATAGCCCACGGCGTAGGGACTCAATATATACGTCACTAAACTTGCATTGATATTACAATCAGAAAATGTATTTATACTGGAGGAATCCGAAGAGCCGTGAAGCTCTTTTTCACAGGTGTCCAGTTAGATGATGTTTTAGATTTGAAGCTTTCGTGACTGCGAGGATTCATACTATTAGGTTTTTTCGGTAAAGTCACGTAGGTAAAAAATAATAGAAATAAAATAATAATAAATGAAAATAAATCAATTAAATCACGACGTTTCGGAGGCAACACAAGTCTCCATCTTCAGGTGGAACCGTCACAGCTACATTTACTGTATCACTTATTTAGCTGTGACGGTCCCACCTGAATATACAGCAGATGTCACGGTTTAGATGGGACCCACGACCTCCTGCAAACCAGGCGAGGTAGTTAACATCTCTCCCAACCACGAGGAAAGAGAGACGCAAACTCCAAATATACAGCAGGTGTCAGGATCGTAATCGAACCCACGACCTCCTGCAAACCAGGCGAGGTAGTTAACAACATCTCGCCACCGCGGCGAGACATGACCGGCGAGATGAGGCGTCACGGCTGACCGCCAGGTGCTGCGGGGAGCGGCAGGGTAAGGGGTGACCTTGAGCTGTTACCTCTCCGGCACCCTGGAACACAAAGGTGTTGCTGGAGAGGCGCGTGTCCGTGATCCTCAGGGCCGACAGCAAGCCCGCCACGGCCACCGCCGCCGTGCCTGCGCCACGCAAAGGCAAAGGCGACCCACGTGGGCCTTGTCAAAACAGGCAAGTGGTGGTGGGAGCGAGTGGCGGCACGCGAAGGCCGGCACGGGACACACGAGCGAGTGGGTGGACAGCACCGCGCCGCGGCCGCCTTTGTCTCCCCAAGTGGGGATGCTTACTACGGTTGCACGAGGTACTCATTTGAGGCTGAGTTGACCTAGGGGAGGCCCAGGTCCGGTTCAGATAATCGTCACCGGTGTTGACCTGAGAGGGAATCAAACTCGGGTTGCCAGGTTCGTTGCGCGGTGCGCTAACCGCTATACCACCGTTCCCCGCAGATACAAAGACAAAGATCCCCCGTATAGCCTTAACAAACTGTTCGGGCAAGTGCTGTTAGCGAGCACCAATTTTGGCGGGTGGGTGGCCAGCGGCACATCCGTCCGCCTTTGTCTCCCCAGTGCCGATGTTTACTACACACTGCACCAGGGACTCATTTAAGGCTGAGTCACCCTAGGGGATGCCCAGGTCCGGTTCAGATAATCGTCACAGGTGTTGGCTGTGAGCGAGAATCGAACTCGTGTCGCCAGGCTCGTAGGGCAGCGCGGCTAACTGCTGCACCACCGCTCTCCCACAGATTAAAGACAAAGATCCCCGTATAGCCTTAACAGACTGTGGGGGCAAGTGCTGTTAGCGAACACCTTTTTAAGTCCGGCACGGCACACGAGGGGGTGGGTGGCCAACATCACGCCCGGCCGCCTTTGTCGCCCCAGTGGCGATGCTTACACATCGCACCAGGTACCCATTTGAGGCCGAGTCGACCTAGGGGAGCCCCAGGACCGGTTCAGATAATCGTCACCGGTGATGGCCGTGACCGGGAATGGAACCCGGGTCGCCAGGTTCGTAGTTCGTAGCGCAGCTACACTAACGCACACACTCGCACGCACGCACGTAGGGCAGACGCACACACACACACAACAACAACAACAACGCCCAAAGACCCACACACAACAACAATACCCACACACAATAACAACCCACACACAACAACAACGCCCACACACACACAACAACAACAACGCCCACACAACAATAAAAACGCCCACACAACAACAACAACACCCACACACACACACAACAACAACACCCACACACACACACAACAACAACACCCACACACACACACAACAACAACAACACCCACACACACACAACAACAACGCTCACACACAACAACAACAACGCCCACACACAACAACAACGCCCACACACAACAACAAAAACGCACACACACAACAACAACAACACACACACACAACAACGCCCACACACAACAACAACAACAATAACGCACACACACAACAACAACAACTGCCATTCGCCACTAAGTGGCGGTGACGTCACCACGACGCTTGTGCCAGGCCAAGTGCACCTTGAGGCCACGTGAAGTGTCGAACGCCCGCTGGCAGGAGGTCACGGGGCAGACCCAGCAGGTGCCACGGGTCGACTGACCGAGATGACCGAGATGACTGGCTAATGCACCACCTGTGCCCCCTACTGTACCAACTTGCTGTGCTTTAGCCACCCGGCGCTCCACTCGTTGTTGTGAGCGTCACTCCTCCGCCATCCGTTGTTGTTGGAGGGCGACTGCCTCCAACTGCCCAGTAGCGTCCTTCACGAGCCTCCTCCACTGAGGCCGATCTTGACACCGCTGGTACCAGTCATCGGCAAGTCCACTCAGCTCCACGTCCTCCTGTACCACATCACTCCATCTCTTCTCTAGCCCGTGCCGCACCCGTTTAGCCCCCTCGATCCGGCCGAACAAAAGCTCTTTAGGCATGCGGTAGCTGGGCATGCGGGCTACATGACCCAGCCAACGCAGCCTTGCCTGCCGGAGGAGCTCACCGATGGGACTTTGCCCAGATCTTTCAAGGATTTGTGAGCTCCTCACAGAATCCAGCCTGGTTAAACCCAGGATGGATCGTAGGCAGGCCAGCCTAAATGTTTCCAACAACAACGCCCACACACACAACAACAACGCCCACACACACAACAACAACAACAACGCCCACACACAACAACAACAACAACGCCCACACACAACAACAACAACAACGCCCACACACACACACAACAACAACAACAACGCCCACCCACACAACAACAACAACAACGCCCACACACCCACACAACAACAACAACAACGCACACAACAACAGCAACGCCCACACAGTCCCCACGAGACGTCGGCGGCTCACCCTGGATGTCGTCGTTGAAGGTGCAGTACTTGTGGCGGTACTTGTTGAGCAGGCGGAACGCGTTGGAGTTGGCGAAGTCCTCGAACTGGATGAGGCAGTTCATGCCGTACCTTCGACCAGGGAGAGACACGAAGAGAGAAACACGCGGGCAGCAGCAGCAGGATGCGGGTTTCTGATTAGCGGCGTTTGCGGGGAGCATCTGAATGTGTTCATTCTGCTCCCCAATACCAGTGACGATTATCTGAGCCAGGGTGGATGGGTGGGGGGGCTGGTGGGTGGGGGGGTTGGTGGGTGGGGGGGTTGGTGGGTGGGTGGGGGGGGTTGGTGGGGGGGTTGGTGGGTGGGGTGGGGGGGTTGGTGGGTGGGGGGGGGGGTTGGTGGGTGGGTGGGGGGGGGGGGTTGGTGGGTGGGTGGGGTGGGGGGGGTTGGTGGGGGGGGTTGGTGGGGGGGGTGGGGGGGGGTTGGTGGGGGGGGGGTGGGTGGGGGGGGGGGTGGGTGGGTGGGGGGGGTTGGTGGGGAGGGTTGGTAGGGGGGTTGGTGGGTGGGGAGGGGGTTGTTAGGTGGGGGGGTTGGTGGGTGGTTGGGGGGGGGTTGGTGGGTGGGTGGGGGGGGTTGGTGGGGAAGGTTGGTGGGTGGGGGGGGGGTTGGCGGGCGGCGGGGCGGGTTGGTGGGGGGGGGGGGTTGGTGGGTGGGGGGGCTGGTGAGTGGGGGGGCTGGTGGGTGGGGGGGTGGATAATTGGGTGGGTGGGGGGGTTGGTGGGTGGGGGGGTGGATAATTGGGTGGGTGGGGGGGCTGGTGGGTAGGGGGGGGGTTGGTTGATGGAGGGGCTGCTCACCGTTGCGTTGCTGCCTCCATGAACTCGCCGACGAGGGCGTCGTAGTCGTCCCCGCGGACTCGCTGGTGCCGCAGTCCGATGTAGAGCGGGTCGTCCAGCAGGGCCTGGGACATCACCCACCACGCAGCAACAATCAGCAACCAACAACAACAACCAGTAGCAGCAGCAGCAACCAGAAGCAACCAGCAGCAACCAGAAACCAGCAGCAACCAGTAGCAGCATGGTTGCCACGTGTCCTTGGTGTTCTCAGGACTGACCTCTTGTAATAATTATTAGTAAGAAAAATGCCACCTTGTAGTAACACTGCAACGTTACAAATTTACATGAGCAACTAGTTGAGTGAATATAGAGGCAGGTGAGTGACGACATGACCGAGTGATTGAGCAGGCGAGTGGGTGAACGAGCGAATGAGCAGGTAAGTGAACGAGCGACCGGGCGTGCGGGTGAACGAGTGAACGGGTGAACGAGCGAGCGGGTGAGCGGGCGAGCGGGCGTGCAGGTGAGCGAGTGAGCGGGCGTGCGGGCGAGCGGGTGAGCAGGTGAGCGGGTGAGCAGGCGAGCGGGCGTGCGGGCATGCGGGTGAGCGGGCGAGCGGGTGAGCAAGCCACATATTCTGATTCTGATGAGCTTGGGTTATTGTTGTTTGTTGTTGTTGTCGCTGTGTCTCGCCTGGTTGTCTGTGCCCACGTCCAGCATGACGGGCAGGCAGTGCTGTGGCCGCACTCCGCCGCATGCTGTGTAGAGTGCCAGCTTGCCCACTGGGATGCCCATCCCGTAGCTGCCCAGGTCGCCCAGACCCAGGATCCGCTCGCCGTCCGTCACCACGATCGCCTGGCAGCCACGCGCGGAGCAATCGATGTCGTCGGTTAAAATAACTTCCAATGACGGTAGTTGCGGTAGTAGTAATGAGCTAGTAACTAGTTCATTAGACCTCCTTTGCCAGTACCAAAATATAATAATTGGGTTTGTCCCCTTTTTTCTGGCAACAAAACTGAAACCTTTTTCCAAGGAATCATGTGGTGCATTAACCACAATACTTGTGGTCAAAATGCAAATAAAAAACACACTGATCATAAATGCACTGTCCTTGAAGTTGATTGGTCCACACCCGAGACAGCTTTCCTTAGAGCCTAGTCTCACATGGGTTGGACCAGATGACGCCAAAAGGCGTACAGCTCATAGACAATGCACTATCAAAGTAATGAGAGCTCGGAGTAAGCATCTCCGTCATTAGACCTCCTTTGCCAGTACCAAAATATAATAACTTGTGGTTAATGCACACATGATTCCTTGTAAAAAGGTTTCAGTTTTGTTGCCAGAAAAAAAGGGGAAAAACCCTATTATTATAGTAACTAGTTGGCATGTTCTGTTTAAGTGACAAACCTTACTAAGTGGCCGTGTCGGGTGGTGGCAGGTTTAACGACACATTGATATTTACGCGATATAACCCCCCGCCCAAAAAAACCTGTATTATGGATAATATTGATCACGAAAGCTTACTACCACGTGTTGAACAGTAATAATAATACGGGGTATTTATTTGGGTTAGATCGCGTAAATATATTAATGTGTCGTTAAACCCGCCACCCCCCCCACACAGCCAATTAGTAAGGTTTGTCACGTAAACAGAATTGATTGGTCCACACCCGAGACAGCTTTTCTTAGAGCCTAGTCTTACATGGTCCAACACCATCAATTTCAAGGACAGTGCATACATTATCAGAGTTGTGTTTTTTGTTTGCATTCCGACCGCAGGTATTGTGGTCAATGCAAACATGACTCCGTGTAACAAAAGGTGTCAGTTTTGTTGCCAGATATACGGGTAAAAAAACAATTATCATATTTTGCAACTGGCAAAGGAGGTTCCAATGGTGGTACGGTGCACACTCTATAGGTCTCCGTGCGTCCCCAAGGGTTGACTCCGTGGTCCGTAGTTTGAGTTGCATGGCCACAAACGCACTCCTGTGTCGCTTGTACCTTAATGGATCTCGACAGGCATCTATGCATCTCTATGGGTCTCCGCGTACCTCCATAGGTCTCCATATATCTCGACGCGTCTCTATGCATCTCCGTGTGTCTCTATGGGCTTACGACACCGTCCACAGTTTTGGTTGCATGGCCACAACCGCAATCCTGCGGCTTGCCTCTTTAACTTTCCATTCGCGAAGGGGACGTGGCGCATCGGGCTGCTGATTGTCAATGTTCTGATGCAGTCGATGGTTCCAGGAGGGTCTCCGAGGTGGAGGAGGGAGGTCAAAGCCAGGAGGTGCGATGTTTGGACCTCGAATGCGAAGTTTATTCTGGACTGAGTTGTCTGACCCCCCCCCCCCATCCCCCCCCACCCCCTGCCCCCCCCCCACTCGTCCACCCCCCCCGCCCCCACTGCACCCCCACTGCACCCCCACAGCCCCCCGACTCTAAACAACGTCAGGCTACAGGGCTTCTCTTACCCGGATGTCCTGCTGGGGCCAGGAGTTGAGGATGGTGGAGATGTGACCGCGGTCGTGGATGGTGATGAACAAGCCCCTGCAAGCCAAGGGGGGTTTGCGGGGTTAGGGTTCGACGGGGTGGCGTTGCGACTTCATCCACGGAGGGGGCGTTTTCATGAGAGAGAGAGTAGGGGAAGCTTTTTTTGCAAGAATTTCGACCCGGCGACCCGAGTTCGATTCCCGCTCACGGCCAACACCGGTGACGATCATCTGAACCGGTCCTGGGCCCTTCCCTAGGTCGACTCAGCCTCAAATGAGTACCCGGTGCGGTATGTTAACATCGCCACTGGGGAGACAAAGGTGGCCGGGCGCGGTGCTGGCCACCCACCCCCTCGTGTGCCGTTGCCGGCCTTCATAGGTGCTACTCGCTAACAGCACTTGCCCCAACAGCCTGTTAAGGTTGTATGGGGGATCTTTGTCTTTGTGTGCGAGCGTGGGGAGCGGCAACGTAAACGCTTAGCGCGTCGCACTACGAGCCTGGTGACTCGAGTTCGATTCCCTCTCACGGCCAACACCGGTGATGATTATCTGAACTGGTCCTGGGCCCTTCCCTTGGTCGACTCAGCCTCAAATGAGCACCTGGTGCGGTGTGTTAACATCGCCACTGGGGAGACAAAGGTGGCCGGGCGTGGTGCTGGCCAACCACCCACCTTCATGTGCCGATGCCGGCCTTCATAGGTGCTGCTCGCTAACAGCACTTGCCCCAACAGTCTGTTAAGGTTCAACACTTAGCCTTTCGCGAAAAAAAGTATTCATAATAAAGGTTTTTGGGTTAGATCGCGTTCGTATAAATATTGTCGTGACCCTCCACCACCCGACGCGGCCAGTACGGTCTGTCACGTTAAACATCGCGCCAATTGCTTTACACTACTTCAGCCCACCGGTGTGTTGGAGAGCAAATCCATCACATCAAACCCAGCATCAATCGGGCGATTTGCCAGAATAGTGAAGGAATCCACCAGAGCGTGACGACGCGGTCGCTGCTAAGGCTGTGCGGGGCGGGGCACAACTTTGTCTTTGTGACGTGGGCTGACGTGGGCTGACCTGGGCCTCCGGAAGGCGATGCCGTACTGCTGGCAGGCGAGCCCCACCGTGGGGGTGTACACGATGGGCAGGAAGCGCTCCACGTCGGAGGTGAGCACGCGGTAGAAGAGCTTCTCGTTGCGGTCCTGCAGCGTCATCAGCAGGATGTACCTGCGCGGGCGGCAAGGGGGGGGCTGGGGGCTGAGTTGACCCTTCCCCGCTCGCTCCCTCCCTCAATCCCTCCCTCCCTCCCCTGCTCCCCTGCTCCCCCGCTCGCCCCCTCCCTCGCTCCCCCGCTCGCCTCCTCCCTCGCTACCCCGCTCGCTCCCTCGCTACCTCCCTCCCTCCCCCGCACCCTCCCTCCCTCCCCCGCTCCCCCGCTCGCCCCCTCCCTCCCCCGCACCCTCCCTCCCTCCCTCGCTCCCCCCGCTCGCCCCCTCCCTCCCCCGCACCCTCCCTCCCTCCCCGCTCGCCCCCTCCCTCGCTCCCACGCTCGCTCGCTCCCTCCCCCGCACCCTCCCTCCCTCCCCCGCTCGCCCCCTCCCCCGCACCCTCCCTCCCTCCCACGCTCGCCCCCTCCCTCCCTCCCCCGCACCCTCCCTCCCCCGCTCCCCTGCACCCTCCCTCCCTCCCCGCTCCCCCACTCCCTCCCTCCCTCCCTCGCCCGCACCCTCCCTCCCTCCCCGCTCCCCCACTCCCTCCCTCCCTCCCTCGCCCGCACCCTCCCTCCCTCCCCCACTCGCTCCCCTCCCTCCCCCGCACCCTCCCTCCCTCCCCGCTCCCCCACTCCCTCCCCCCGCTCCCCCACTCCCTCCCTCCCTCGCCCGCACCCTCCCTCCCCCGCTCCCCTGCACCCTCCCTCCCTCCCCGCTCCCCCCTCCCTCCCTCCCTCGCCCGCACCCTCCCTCCCTCCCCGCTCCCCCACTCCCTCCCTCCCTCGCCCGCACCCTCTCTCCCTCCCCCTCCCCCCGCTCCCCCACTCCCCCTCCCCCGCACCCTCCCTCCCCTCTCCCCTGCACCCTCCCTCCCTCCCCGCTCCCCCACTCCCTCCCTCCCTCCCCCGCACCCTCCCTCCCTCCCCGCTCCCCCACTCGCTCCCTCCCTCCCCCGCACCCTCCCTCCCTCCCCGCTCCCCCACTCGCTCCCTCCCTCCCCCGCACCCTCCCCCTCCCTCCCCTCCCCCCTCGCTCCCTCCCTCCCCCGCACCCTCCCTCCCTCCCCTGCCACCCTCCTCCCCGCTCCCCTGCACCCTCCCTCCCTCCCCTCTCCCCCACTCCCCTCCCTCCC